CAGCTATACTCTATAGTAAAAAGAAATTTCTCATTTTACAAACGTGGCAGAATCGGCTCGTTTGCCGCTCAACTTTTCATCTCTGCTTTTCTCTCTCCTTTCGTCTGTAGCGCATCCCCTTTAAAATCGTTTTAAAATTCACAAGCGATCCTCGCGCCTACTGGGAACATCTGATACAACACATCTGCACCAAAAGACCAATCTAGACATTGAAATATTATCGATCAGTATTATTATATAAAAAAATATATGTGTACTAATCAGCTACTTTCATATCTCTTGAACGCACTGTAGTTTTGATCAGCAAACTAAGTTAAGTTACTTTTTTCTCGCCTTCGAAAGCCTGGAAACCACTTGTCTACTTGAAACTCTTTCCGCCAACGGATCTTCTGCTACTGATTGATCAACCGCATTGTCCTGCAAGCTGGACAGAACAGAGTCGAAGTTGTCCTGAAACTGGACTTCACCTTCGAATCCAATGCCTGATAAATTTTAGTCAGGTAAGCAACTACTTTATGAAGTACCAAATGTAACCTTTTTTTTGTTTGTTGGACACCAATGATATATTATTAACTATGCCCTGTTCCTTATTGCCTAAACCACGCCCATTTTTCCAGCCCATTTTCTCCATCAGTTTACGACCAATATTCGAAGTGTCTGAAACAAGTGAACTGCAAATAACACTGCAATATTCGGAACGCCGTTTCATATGGGGTTTACCTTCTGACCACGGGATCTGGTCGACACTCATTCCTAGATGACTCTTTGTTCTGAATTTCTAACTGCTTTTATCTGAATCAACGAACCCTAAAACCGGCTCCCATAGCTCAATCAAAATGCTCACAACGGACAAAAAATACAAGCAAAAATAAACGACTGAAAGCCAAGGAAATGAAAATTTTACTGTCTCATAATAATTACACCTTAGTAGAAGAACGTTAAACTGCAATGGCACGCAATCATCTACAGAAAACGGAACGGTAACCGGTGGAAAAACGAAAACAGTTACAAAGTGAAAAATAAATACATGTGTATGAAGATGATGCATGTATATAAAATAAAACGTTAAAGCGGCAAAGAATTTTAAGTCGATGGGCGGCACAATCAATCAATCGTAAATTGGTGGTTGAAAACACGATGGCCATAGAATGAGGAAACACAACAGCAAACGTAAACTGGTGAAATACAAGAAATGCACAAAAGCATTATGTTGGCACGAAACAGAGTTTGGTACATGACCGGAACAAAAACAAATCATCGTTTAAGAACGTAGCTGGTAAAATAACGTAAAGTAAAGATCTGAAGAAATATATTATTCACAAAAGCAAAACTAAGTAAGGTTTCCTTCATTCCGTCGAACACTGGTCGCGTAGAGCTGTTGCTGAAAATTGTGAAACTGCATCTGGTAAACGTTGTCTCGGTTGGCGGTGTTCGGTGGCGACTGAAGATACGCTGGCGCAGCCGCAAACCTCGTCATCTGCGTAGATCCACGCTTCATGGCGTTCATGTCGTTACCTTGCATGGCAACAGAATATGCATGTGGCGGTACTCCGTGGACGAAACCAGCCGCTTCAAGGCACTGTTGCGGCGGCTGCTGTTGCTGTTGGATCAGGTTGCACTACAATTCGTAAGGCTTAGAG